AGCTTTAGATGTCATTGGAGCATACCTCCTCTGGAAGGCACAGATTTACAACTATCCCATTTTAACTGAGTCTCCGAAAAAGATATATCCTAAGAGGGCTCAAAGAGTCCTTTGACTTAATGGTAGAGACATCTATATTATCTAATTGATTAGCTGAGATCCAAAAGGTTAACCAAAAGCATAGATGTGTCTACATTTTATATGGAGAAAGTTCTGCACATACATAAAAAATAAGCACAGAAAGTTGTCTGCATCTATGCTCATGAAGACATATGAGGGATTATATTTGTAATTGCCACTGATAATATTCCTTTCCTTAATCTTTGTTCAAATTGCATGCTAACACATTATTTGAAAATATATTCAGTGTTTAAGATTAAAGGGTTTGTTGCGGAGGAGTGTCATTTAGTGCATGAATATAATTAAAATGTACCAATTTATGACAACGTTTCATTAAAATATAGCTTCAAATTGGTAAAATTTGAAAGCCATATCATCCTAAATCCAATTTAATTTCAAATGAAATAGACCCATTGAATCAACGGTACTTACATTATGTGCCGACTCACCAAATCCCCAAAGATTTGTTGTGTCTAGTCTGTTTGCGTGTAACAAATGGATTTTGTCCAAGAATGGGAACCATGAGATCCTCCAAATATTTTTGAAATGCAAATCCCAGTTGCCCTAGCCAAAATGTATTTTGAATGTCCTGATTAATAAACAAAAACTGTAGAATTCCTTAAGATATGAGAAGTAAGGGGAAAAAAAGAAAAGAAAAGAAAAGAAAAGAAAGGATGGTTATATTTCAGCTCCCTAAAACCCTAACCAACATGGTCAAAGACCAGGGTTTCAAGGAGATGCATCCAGAAATATCAAAATACACAACAGGTAGGTAAAGGTAAAGGATTTCCTTTGACATTAAATCCAGTCATATCCAACTTTGGGGGGTGCTGCTCATCTCAATTTCTAAGCTGAAGAGCTGGTGTTGTCCGTAGACACCTCCAAGGTCATGTGACCAGCATTACTGCATGGAGCACAGTTACCTTCCCGCTGGAGCAGTACCTATTGATCTACTCACATTTGCATGTTTTCAAATTGCTAGGTTGGCAGAAGCTGGGGCTAACAGCAGGAGCTCACCCCACACCCCGGATTCAAACCAGTGACCTTTCAGTCAGCAAGTTTAGCAGCTCAGCAGTTTAACCCACTGAGTTTGTAGCTTCCATCATTATACTGAAGTAAAGAAAAAGCTAATATAAGTCTAAATTCTCAGTTAGATAAAACTGAGAGATAGAGATTCCTTTGGGATTAAGTTTTCAGTCAAACTATTGACAGAAGAGAGTTACTAAAAGTCATAAGCTAGCCAGCCAGGAGGCTGAGGAGAAATATATTTTGAAGGAGAAGAAAGGGGCTTAACAGAGTAGAAATAAGTTCAACTGTTTTGAAAGTTATATAATAATAATTTTATGTATTCAAAGAAGTGAGAGACAGTTGCAATAATATCCAAGTGGAACTGAAGTAAAGTACTTTGTAACATATAAGCTTATGTGTAAAAGAATTCACAAATAAACATTTCCTTGTTTCAACATATATATTAAAGTCTCGTGTCAGGTTACAGGACTAAAGTTACATGGCTGGAAATCTGTTGGAGATTACATTGATGTAACCTGTGAGGAGAAGTTGGAAGCTACATATTGACTCCAGGTTTGGGTTACACATTGAAGAAAATATACACGAACATCTAAAAATTGCATCCTGTAACAAACTCATATAAATAAAGGCAACACGGAGACAGAGAAAGTGTGTTTCAGGCGTGAACTACAAGTCACTGAGTTTGTGAGGTTTGATTCCTCATATCGCCTCATCTCGTGTGCACATACATATATGTTTAATGCTGGCAGAGGTGGGATATCCAAGGTCTTGGTGTACAGCCCCTTGGGAATGCCTACCCTGCCTTGTTGCACAGGTACATACCTCTTCACAACTTGTACTTGGCTGCAATGGATGCCAAACACATCTTTCCAGTTTGATCTCATCTCTTTTTGCTCCTCTCATTAGTAGCCCCTCTTTCCAGAAAGTAAAAAGCTCTTTTGGGATTCAGTTTGTTGTTCCCACCCACAGCATTACAGCACACATGTGGTGCCTTCATACGCCCAGCATCCATCAAGATGATGGGCATTTGGCTTACTTGTGTAAGAATAATAAAGTGTGGTGTACATCTAGTCATTAGGGAAATCTAAAAGGTGTGAGGGATCTTACAGCTTACAGTGCTTACTTTGGTGATGTGGATGTAGGATGAAGTGATGATGGTTATATTGGTTCTGTTCCAAGTGCTATGACTAAGCAGCCATCTTGTGAGGGCTGGTGGTGCTGAGTGCTGGAAAAAGCAGAAAGCCCAGGGTTGCCACCACACCCATTAAAACATACAGGTGCTTTTTATAAAATACCTCAGCCTACATCTTTGTTCCCCTGTGGGTGGAAAGAGAGTTTGCAGCAAGGGCAAAGCTGAGTTCAGTGATGCTCTTCACCAGTTCCCACTTGGAATAAGACTGCAACCTTTCGTGTTGATTTTTGATTTCAAGAGCAAACAGGGAAAATAAAAGTGTAACTACATGTTGCTTGTAGTTTCTGCCTGAGTGCTTGAAAACACCTAACATCTATACCAAGAGGTTAGGAAGGGACAATTGAAGGCAGGGCCGGAAGGCTTTTTCTTCAATTGGAACTAAACAGATAAATTCAAAAGTAGAGATAAACATTGGATTATCCAGTGCATAGAAAGTGGAGGTGAAGGTCACAAGAAACCTGAATGTAAGCACAATCAAAGCACCCCCAACAGATGGCCACCCAGCCTTTGTAATAATATTAATATTAATAATATATTATAATAATATATTATTAATAATATTAATAATAGCAGAAACCCCAAGGGCTATCCTGTTCAACATTCTTCTGCCTTGCAGGAAAAGCTCAATGAAAGCACCCGAAGTTGTGGGAGGAAAATAGGGTTTTGGAAGTCAGCAAGGTGAGGTGAGGCTGGAATCAGATCCTAGGATAAAAGGCATGTTTAGAAGGGCCCACACTGCCATATAATCCAGTGTAATGCGGATACAGCTGTGTGGAAGGGGCCTCAGACTCCTTTCAGGATGTGCAACTATTAGCACTACTTTAATTGTCTCAGTGACACCTATAGAAGTCTGGGATTTGCAGTTTAATAAAGACAGGAATTTAGAACGCCAATACCTATAAGATGTTGCCATGGCAGCTAATGTGGAATTACAGTGCTATAAATACAGCCCAGCGTGGCTTCCAGGGAGGTCAAGAATGGCTGTTGAAAGCTTGTACTTTGGGATGCTGTGAGTTTTCCGAGCTGTATGGCCATGTTCAAAAGCATTCTCTCCTGACATTTCACCTGCATCTATGGCAGGCATCCTCAGAGGTTGTGAGGTCTATTGGAAAATAGGAAAATGGGGATTTATATGTCTCTGTGGAATAATGTTTAGGGTAAGAGAAAGATCTCTTGTCTGTTGGAGGTAAGCATGACTGCTGCAATTGGCCACCTTGATTAATAGGGTTATAGGGTTGATGTAGGTTTTCCAGACTGTATGGCCATGTTCTAGAACAGTAGTTCTCAACCTGTGGGTCCCCAGGTGTTTTGGCCTACAACTCCCAGAAATCCCAGCCAGTTTACCAGCTGTTAGGATTTCTGGGAGTTGAAGGCCAAAACATCTGGGGACCCACAGGTTGAGGACCACTGTTCTAGAACATTCTCTTCTGACATTTCACCTGCATCTATGGCAGGCATCCTCAGAGGTTGTGAGGTCTGTTGGAAACTAGGAAAGTGGGGGCTTATATATATCACTCTGTGGAATAATGTTTAGGGTGGGAGAAAGAACTCTTGTCTGTTGGAGGTAGGTGTGACTGTTGCAATTGGCCACCTTGATTAATAGCCTAGCATAGGCTTATAGGGTTGTTGTAGGTTTTCTGGACTGTCTGGCCATGTTCTAGAAGCATTCTCTCCTGACATTTCACCTGCATCTATGGCAGGCATCCTCAGAGGTTGTGGTGTCTATTGGAAACTAGGAAAATGGGGCTATATATATATATATATATATATATATATATATATATGGAATAATGTCCAGGGTGGGAGAAAGAACTCTTGTCTGTTTGAGGTAGGTGTGAATGTTGCAATTGACCACCTTGATTAGAGTGAAATAGCCTAGCATAGGCTTGTAGATTTTCCAGGCTGTATGTCAATGTTCTAGAAACATTATCTCCTGACATTTCACCTGCATCTATGGCAGGAATCCTCAGAGATTGTGAGGTCTGTTGGAAACCAGGAAAGTGGGGGCTTATATATATAACTCTGTGGAATAATGTCAAGGGTGGGAGAAAGAACTCTTGCCTGTTGGAGGTAGGTGTGACTGTTGCAATTGGCCACCTTGATTAGAATGGATGGCCTAGCATAGGCTTATAGGATTGTTGTAAGTTTTTCAGGCTGTCTGCCCATGTTCTAGAAGCATTGTCTCCTGGCATTTCGCCTGCATCTATGGCAGGCATCCTCAGAAGTTCGACGATACATACGCTTCTACTTTTCTGTCCTGCAAGAGAAGGCTTGCAGTGGGTTTGGCCCCAAGAAAGTGGATGGAGGGACGATGGAACCGCGGCTGGTTTTAGCGTCACGTTTTGGCTCACAGCAGCCACAAAAGCAGTTCAAAACATTCAGATTGGAGGAGGAGATGGGCGCCGCTCCAGAGGCCTTGCTCGGCTGTGCGCGCAAACTTTGCCCTGGAAAGTTGGAGCGGGAGCGGCGGGGAAGCGAGCGGCCGACCTGGCTTCCAACTTGGGTGCCAACGAGGAAGCCCTCTCTCCCTGGCCCAAAGAGTGTGCCAAAGGGCCGGGCGGAATTCCCACCAGGAGGGCCCGCTTTTTCAGAGGGAAGGCCTCTCTCCCTCCCTCCTGCCCGCCAGCCCGCCCGCCCGCCACAATCGGCCTCCCAATGGCGCTCATCCGGCTCAGCTCGGGACGCGTGCGGACATTGTGACCTCAGGGGGCGTGCCTTGCGTGACGGGGCCCGGGAGCGGGAGTTTGTCCTCCTCCTCCTCCCTCCTCCTGCTCTTTGGGCCGGCCATGGGGGTGACTGTGGAGACGCACAAGATCTATCACTACCCCTTCGAGCAGGTAGTGGCCAGTTACCTCCGAAAGGTAAAAGTACTTCCCTTCCCTTCCAGTCCTGAAGCCTCTTCTGTTGCAGCCCTCTTGCTCTGGGACCAGATATGGGCTCACTTAAGCCCTCGAGGTGTTTTGGACTTCAGCTCCCACCATTCCGAACAGCCTCAGGCCCCTTCCTTCGAGAAAGCAGAAAAGGAAAGGGCCCGAGGCTGTTCGGAATGGTGGGAGCTGAAGTCCAAAACACCTCGAGGGCCCAAGTTAGCCCATGCCTGCTCTGGACCCATCTCTACTCTCCAGCTAACTGTCTCCATCTTTCCCCTCTCTGGTTGCCTCCTTATGGCAGCTGTCTGTGTTATGGTGCTAAATGGCCTAAGGATGGTGTGTGGGTGGGGGGGTGGGTGGATTGTGCCTCCTTATGGCAGCTTTCTGTGTTATGGTGCTAAATGGCCTAAGGATGGTGTGTGGGTGGATTGGGATTCTCCCCCATCTTTTTCATGCCTTTCCCCCTGTTGTCAGTGCGCCCCCGCCTCCTTCCTCAGCATTGCTCCTCTTCCTCATGCGGGAAGCACCCGACCTGAGTCCCTCGCCGAGGTTGAGAAGGCCGGTATAGAAATCTTCTAAATAAATGTGTTCCCAAACCAGAAGTGGAAAGCCCACGGTTGCCATATGCTGTTGCACTGCAGCTCTCACTATCTGTACTGATTCACTCTGGTAGGAGTTGGTGGACAGTGGAGGCTGGCAACATCTGGCAACCCACATGTTTATCAAATATGATTATTTGGTTGCATGCTGCAAGTCGCTTCTGGTGTGAGGGAATCAGCCGTCTACAGAGACATTGCCCAGGGTACACTGGGATGTGTTATGATCCCACAGGGAGACTTCTCTCATGGCACTATGAGGTGCAGAGCCAACCTTAAGAAATGGGGCCACATAGAGAAGTCCATGACATGCGAGTGTGGAGGAGAGCAAACCACAGGCTACCTGTTACAATGCAGTAGTAGCCCTGCCACATGCACAAGGGAGGACCTTCTTACAGCAACACCGGAGGCACTCCAATGGCCCTTCCACACCGCCCTATATCCCAGAATATGAAGGCAGAAAATCCTACATTATCCAAGTGTGGACTCAGATAACCCAGTTCAAAGCAGATATTGTGGGGTTTTCTGCCTTGATATTCTGGGATATAGGGCTGTGTGGCAGGGCCACAATTGGCCAGATACTGGTCAAAGGACATTTAGTATAATTCCAAGTTTTTAAAACTTTGGTTGTGTTCTTAAATACATTACAACTGCATCCTCAGTTTGCTTCTGCTACAATGAACAAATTAAATAAATATGATCTAAAGAAGGATTGGGGATTATGCAAACATCTTCCATGTTGTTCCATTGCACATCCCAAGAGGGTTAGGCAGTACAAACAATGCTAAAGGAAGCTGGATGACAAGCTTAAATATTCTACTCACTTCCAAAGATCCTATCTGATCTTTGGAAGGTAAGTACATCAGCTCTGGTTAGTAATTGGATTTGAGATTATTAACAAATGCATATGTTGTAGGCTACATTTCAGAGGAAGGAGCTGGCAAAACCAGCTCTGATTTTCCTTGTCAAAGGGGCTCTCCACCCAAAATATCAAGCCAGAAAACCCCACAATATCTGCTTTGAACTGGATTATCTGAGTCCACACTGCCATATATTCCAGTTCAAAGCAGATACTGTGGGATTTTATTCCCCAGTCTGGAAGTTGCCTAAGAAAAGCCCGTCAAATTCATGGGATCACCATAAGTCAACAAGTGACTTGAAGGCACACAGATGCTGGAAGGCTGTGTGTTTTCAGTTCCCACTGTAAAATCATTGTAGCTGATGGATAGCAAACATGCAGTTGGCTACTGAAATGATCCCCATGAGATTATTTTCATTGCTACTGTGTTCAGAGATACAAGCCTCACTTGCAGATTTCAAATTGGTGGGCTCATTTGAGGAAAAGTATCCAGTAAAGTACCCGATACATGAGAATCCAAAATCAGTGTCTTGAAATAATCTTGGCACTCATAGAATTATTGAGTTGGAAGAGGCCTCGTGACCCATTCAGTCCAAACCCCTGCCAAGGAGCGGGAAAATTACATTCAAAGCAACCCCGACAGGTGGCCATCCAGTCTCTGTTTAAAACCTCCAAAGAAGGAGCCTCCACCACACTCCAGGGCAGAGAGTTCCACTACTGAACGGCTCTCACAGTTAGGAAGTTCATCCTCATGTTCAGGTGGAACCTCCTTTCCTGTAGTTTGGAGCCATTGTTCCACATCCTAGTCTCCAGGGCAGCAGAAAACAAGCTTGCTCCATCCTCTCTATGTCTTCCCCTCACATATTTATACATGGCCCTCATCATATCTCCTCTCAGGCTAAACATGCCCAGCTCTTTAAGTCACTCCTCATAGGGCTTGTTCTGCATACCTTTGATCATCTCAGTCACGCTTTAGTCAATTTGTGGATAGTTTGGTTCAAGTAAAGGTGGTGGTTAAACCGTCTATCCTGTTGGGTCTCCTTTAAAGATGGGGCTTCTGCACAAGCTCACTCTTCCAGGAAAGCCCTCCCCTCCATTAATAGGGGAGGGCCTTCTTTGTCAAACATGGCTGACAATCCCCAAATCTCAATATTCCAGATAGGGCTAAAGCTAGATGAAAAATAAAGATATTTGGAGGTGAGAAAATTCACATGCATATTATTTATTTATATGCAGCCTCATATCCAAGGATGGTAAACAATACACTCAATTAAAACAATTTTAAGCAGTTTAAAATTTTAAGCAGGAAAGGAATTGCAACATAAAATATATTGAACTGGATAATGACATAAGGTAAAGGTTTTCCCCTGACATTCAGTCTAGTCGCGTCCGACTCTGGGGGTTGGTGCTCATTTCCATTTCTTAGCCAAAGAGCTGGCATTGTCTGTAGACACCTCCAAGATCATGTGGCCAGCATGACTGCATGAGTGCTATTACCTTCCCGCCGGAGTGGTACATACTGATCTACTCACATTTGCATGTTTTCAAACTGCTAGGTTGGCAGAAGCTGGGGCTAACAGCGGGAACTCACTCTGCTCCCTGGGTTCAAATCTGTGACCTTTTGGTCAGCAAGTTCAGCAGCTCAGTGGTTTAACACACTGTGCCACCAGGGGCTCCAGGTAATGACTTAAAACAACTAAAATGAAATCATGTATGTGTAAACTGAGTAAAAAGCTAGATCCCAAAGGCTTTTAATAAAATGCCATTCTTTATTTTATCATTAAATGAAACCAAATCCAATTGGGCCTCTGAGGCCCGTTCACACTTGAGGAACTAGAGCAGAGAAAACCTGCTCCCATATCCTTAACAGTGTAGTCATCCCACTGATGAAACTCAGAGAAGGGTCCCTTCAAGTGCCTTCAAACAGGCATCTTTAGGGAGAGGTGTATCAAGGCCACAAATGGGTTTGGAAACATGACCTTGTTTCATGGCCAGCAGAGTACCACCTTGCCAAATTAGAAAAAAAAATACTGTTGAGGAATGGTGACTGGGTGTCCTTGTGGTTTGTGGATTCTGAAATTTCTTCTATCCCCACCTGCTTGCGATAGCTGCTACAAACTGCTTTAGAGCAGGAGTTGGGAAAACTGTGGCTTTCTAAATGTTACACAACTAGATCCTAGCATTTTTCACCATTGGCTATGCTGCCTAGATAGCTAATGGGAGCTGCAACCCGGCAGTATCTGGAGACCCATTAGAGAAAGCTGCTGTGCAGTGGGCACACCTTTTCACAACATTGATGAATGAGTTGCTTGAGAGTAACCGCAGTGCTTTTGGCAGTTTAAAAAAATCTGCGAAGTCAGCTAGAGCAGTGGTATTTAATGTGGTTTCCTCTAGACTGGCCCATGAATCATTAGATGCTTGTCTGAGTTTCCAAGAAGGAAAGAAACAGTTGGAGGCAGCAGGCATAAATATGGTACCGGGGGAGGGGTGGGGGAATGCCATCAGATAGGCAAGAAGTTCTGAATTTGTCTAACATCCATGGATTATGGTGTCCCTGGGAAGTCCTGGAACAAATCAATATATAACGAGGGCCAATCATGCGTGTGCACATATATACATATAATTATAACTACATGGATGAAAAAAAGCTGCACTATCTAAATGACCAATGGTGAGCCAAATAAAAATGCCTTTTGCCTGGTAGCGAAATTACAACTCCTTGTAAAGAGTTCCAAAGACTTGGAGGTGCCCCTTTTTGTGGTCCAGCCAAGGGTCTCTCTAGTCATAGTGGGACATAGAGAAGGTCCTTTTCCAACAAAACTTTGGGACAATTTGCTTTTTCAAAGAACTTAGGCCTAAGTCATGGAAGATCACTTTTGGTCATTTTAGGTTGAGTGCAGAAACAGTGAGGGTATTGTAATAGATATGAACTGCTCCATATAGCAGGACCCAGCTCTCTCTTCTTGTGTGGCCAATAAAGAGAATAGCTAATAATTATATTGTTTCCTAGATGCTCTAGTTGAGTGTGTGCAAGAAGGGGCCCTATATGATATATGTGCATAAACATACATGCATCATATGTATGAAAGGAAAACAAAGATGGAATAAATCCTGCTTCTCTCTTTGGAGTGTAGATATTCTACTGAGCAGTCATGTTGCTCTTCTCAGACTCATGCAAGAACAAAAATAATGGGACATTTTGCAAAGAAATCCATAGGACAAGAAGTTGTGAGTTCTAGCTTCTGTCTGCTCCAAGCACATGAGTGTTACTCTATGATGTGTTCCTTTACAGGCAAATCATATTTCTTTATGGCTTGAAGCCCAAATGAACAAGTCATTAAGTGTGTCCAAAGTCCCTGCTTCCACCCTCCTGTTAAACAAACAGACAATTCTCTGGGTTATTTCTGCCTCCTTTGGATGTTTATCCATGGGGGATCTGTAGCTATGAACATTTGCTTCTTAACTAGAATTGCATGATGATGTTTTTAGAGAAGGGAGGGAAATGGGTTTCTCAACTGTTTTACATGTTTTCTTTT